CGGCAAAAAATAAAAATAAAATGATTTTTAAGTGTTACGTCAATTTTAATAAATATTTTATTGAATACTGCCAACTAAATATTTATTAAATATAATGATATATATATTTGATACAAGAAATTATAATTTAATTTAACAATCATATTTTTTATTGAACAAATATTCACTTACTGTAAGTGTTTAATTGGCAGTATTAAACAAAATATTTATTATAATTAACTATATTTTTTTTCAGTCCATGAATATGCTTGAGTTAAAAACGACAACTAAAGATCATCAAATCCTTTTACAGAATTAAAGTATGAGAAAAAAAGCAGTAGTCACACAATATTGACACGAAAATTGGGGAAAAATTTAAGAGTTCACTTTATATCAGCTCTCATAGCTGTCAACTCAAGTCATAATTCTCTTATTGCAGAATTCGGTAGGTCATACGTAAATAACTTTCCCGGAAATGACATGCACAAATAATCCTGAGTTTGCGAAATTGTGATCAAAGACCTAATAAAAAAAATTTTCCAAAATTTAAATCGAATTTTTTGTATAATTATTATTTTTTTGCCCTTTTAAAGATTCAAAAATCTTTTTCCATGATTAAAGTATATACATCAATACGTGTCTGTGAGCTGGAAATTTATTCTCAAAAAAACAAAAATTTTTCTTAAAATTTCAATTTCAAAATTTTTTGTCGTTCTAGGAAACTTCACTTCACATACACGTATTAATGCGTATACTATAATCCTGGAAAAGGATTTTCGAATCTGTAAAGAGAGAAAAAGTAATTGTTAAACAAAAATTATGATTAGTAACACAGACGCTAAACTGGCTTTAGGATTTGCTTTAAGATCCCCTTAATCAAACCTTACAAACAAACGATGCGGTTTTTCTTATAGGCGACATTCAAAATACCATCTAAGTACCTTCGCATAGCATTTTGTTCTTATTTAACACATAAGGATAAAAACAATGATTAATAATAATGATAAAAAAATAATACACAGAGCGGTAAAATTATTAATCTTTAGTATGCAAGGAGCATATTTACTTGTGAATTCGTTTCCTTTTAAATCAATTGCACATATGTACCTAATTGTTAATTTACATTTATTTGCACGTTGTCTCTGTCCCACTTTTTACTGTAAAATAGTCCTAAACGCAATGAAATTCAACTTCTTCTTTCTCTCCTTCTGTTACATTATCTGGATGTGCATCTGCCAAGATCTTGTAAAGTTTTTAGGAACTAATAGGTACACATAATAAATTTCTCATTAAATGCATGTTGCTTTATTACAACTTGTTAATTTGGTGTAATGTCCACGTATTCAGCGAATGAGATCAAATTGTCTGCTGCATCCTTGAAAAAATAATTTCTGATTGGCTATACATATTACAAGAATGATAAATGAAACAATAAATGAATGTTTCTCGTAGTAGATAGATTATATTTTTCCATAGAAAGTTTAAACTTTAATTTATAAAATTTATTTAAATGAATTGCAACTAATGCAAAGCAATTATAGTTACTCATTAAGTGTTCCTGTTTCTTCTGTACATTCCTGTAATGGATAATTAGATAAGTTTGATGAGTTAGATGGACCTTCTTGATGTTTTTCTTTTTTTAGAGATATATCCCTGTTTGCATCGCTTTATAAACTGCTTTCGTTATTTATTGCGCTATCTGGACTTGGACCAAATATCCTACATTTATGTAAGGTTTCATTTAAAAAGCGGTAATAATGAAATAGGAGTATCATTTTCAATTATGTTTTTTACTCCACTATTAAAGTATCAGTTTTAAGAATCTTACTATCCAAACATTTTGAAGCTGTAGAGAATGTACCATTCAACTAGATTCACATCTAATGTATTAATCTAATCATTCCCAGGAAAAATTTAATGGTCGCATATTACTAATTTTCTTATTATATCGAATATTACTTAGTTTTTGTTTTTATACGTGGTGATTGTAAATTTAAATTCGGGGATACATTTTATACTCAATAAAACTAAAAAATATAAGTATATGTACGAATGATACAAATTTGTACGTCTTTATATCGTATTTGCTGACACACATGTATGA